CCCCCCCCCCATTCATCATCCTGTCGCAGTTGTTCTCCAGGTCTTTCAACTGCTTCTCGTAATTCTGCTTCTCCAGGTTCACCTCTTTATGTTCTCTGGATGTCTTTAAAACACTTTCTTCAAGATCTTGTATCTTATTTGTAAGTTTCCCTCGAGTTCTCCTTTCCCTTCTAATTCTCCTGTCTTGATAACTGTACATGAAGGGCGAGTTCATCGAACGTTTGGTAAGTAGTTTCATTGAACTCGCTGAACAGGCTGTTGTTGACTGCCGACATCCTCCCAATCGAGTTTTCCAACTCATAAATCCTCGAGGACATTGATCTCTCATGAACCTAATTGTTCTTGATCAAAGACAGTGCAGCTGAGTATTTGGCACTTAAATCATCATACCTCAACTTCAGGTCCTCATTCTCGGCCGTCAACTGGGCCACGTTGGTCAAAGCCTCCTCCAGGGAACGTCCAATGCTCTCTTTAGAATCGAAAACACTAGCTGCTGCCACGTACTTGGACGTCAACTCTTCCACCTGGATCTTATTGAGCTTGATCTGCTCCACCAGGAGTTCCCTCTCATGATGAGCGTTCATTAATTGATTCTTCAGGGTCGTAAAGTCTTTCTTATTAGTCTCTGATTGACTCTCCAGCTGGGACTTCAAGGAGTCAAAAGTTTTCTTGTAGTTTGATAACTGAGATTGGTAGACACTCAGTTCTTTCGCATGCTTCGTTTCTAGGTCTGATAGTTTCTGGTTGTAACGATCCTGGAGATGTTTGTATTGAGCTTCGTAGGAGGTCTTCATGGAGAGCAGATGCTCCTCGTGGGTTTTGGTCAGGGTGATGATCTCTTGGTGATGAGATTCTGAGTTGAGTTTTGTTTCAGGTACGAACTTGTCCATGATTTTCTCCATGTCCTTTTTGATCTTTACGACCTGGGTGTCGTACGCTTCCTTCACTCTCTGACGTTCCTCCAGGCTGGAAGAGCTCTCTTGCTCTAGGGTTTGGAGGCGTTGGTTCAGATCGTTGATCTGGGTTTGTAGGTTTTTATTTCTAGGGATTTTGTGTTGTCCAGGTCCTGTCGTTTTGTCTGCAGCTGTTTTATGATTTCCTCCAGGATATTGGGGGGTTGTTCAAGGGTGGAGGGGTCCTTGGGGGGTTGGTTCCGAATCGGGAGGGAGTTCAGGAACTGCACTTGGTCCGCTAGAGCGTCCTCTCCCTCGGAGATACTCATGCTGCTTTGGGTGGTGTCTCGGAGGAAAGCATCTTTGAAGAGACTTGAATTTTGTGTGTCAACAGTTTCATTATATCCAAGTAATTCCTCCCCATCAGACGAATCAGTCTGATTATCCATGCGTCCCTGTGATGCCTTGTACCTAGCCAGAATTTCACGTCCAGCCCTGTTCATTACTTGTAATACACTGGTAAGCGTAAATCTGACGAACCACCCTAAAGTAAATATATCAACATATATGTACTTTATGGCGATTCAATATGTGCCAAGGCAGAGAGAGAGAAGCAACGTCAGCTTATGAGAAGCAGATAAATTATCTCTCTGATGATCAGGACCTGCTTGCAAAATTCCAAGGACTAATGGCCATCCATGATGAATAGTCTCTCCACTTCCATGAAACATCTGGGGAAGACACTCCAGCTGTCTCTAAAACACATTTTCATATCTGGCAGAAGACGATTCTGATAAAGGTACCAACAACAATGTTTGCAGCTTCTGATTGTCACCAGGTACGTTATCGCCTTCAGCCCCCCCCCCGCCCCCTCCCACTACACCACTCGCCCCTCCTGGTGTGAGGATTCCAGCAAACTTTCAACAAATGATTAGTCAAAGGTCTCCAGAGAACTTCTACACTTGACAGATTAACATTCCCAGTCACCAATAACTCAGCAACACGAACAACGGAGGGCCTCTGTTGGTGTACGCCAGTTCCATGTCTGTCTAACTCAACTTTGATAGAGCATCGATGAGATCATGAAGAGCGACGTCGTCCAGATTATGAACATGGTACCTAGCATAAGCAAATCTGCGATAACAGCAGTTGTTGGGATAG